AATACAGTTATTATTGCCATGTTGCTTGACCGCTGACTATCTTGATGTCACCGCTGGAATCTAACCTTTGAGCAACAAATGACCCTTTAAAATCATTAATTGAAAAACCGCTCGTTTTGAACTAGATACGCAAATGACTCTTTACAATCATACTTATGAACTTGGAATGGACCAAAATGAACCTGACCAAAGTCCAACGAGTTGCAAAATTTTGATGAAAAATATAAATCCAAAATGTGCATCATGAGTGTTTTAAACTAAAAATGCATTATATAATTGAGTACATGTCTGAATAAAATATATGTCCAAATTCAATAAGTGTCCAAGGAGTGTCGGATATGGACACAGGCAAAGGAAGTGTCGGACACGGATACGGGAGTCTGGACGAAGTGCCCAGGTAATCTAGGGTTAAAGTTTGTACAAAACTACACCTCTGCTGACAATCTCATGAACTAATAATGTAGAAATTAACCTTTCAGATTCCAGAATCTCGCTACAATCACTAAGCATAAAAATAAAAAAATCTGTGAATGTTTAAATGTTAAGTTTATAGCCAGTTGACTGAGCATGAAAGCAGTCTCATTCTCTAAATTTTAAAACATCAGAAACCAAAAGAAAATAGTAAAAGGGTGATCAGAATTTTGATGATCGCAAGTTAGACTGATAGTAACCACAAAACAATGATGTATGAGTTCTATTGTTTTTTGATACCTCTCGGGATGCACGGTCCCATACTACAGCTTCTCTATTAGCATCTGCTGAAGCGAACATGGAGAGATCTGGAGAGTAAGATATAACAGTAATCGCACCACGGTGCTTCTCAAGCACGGCTTCCTCTTTCAATGTATCTCCCTCAATGCAATAAATGTGGAGTTTTCCATCTTGACCTCCAACAATGGCTTCATCTCCATTAGGTGCAAGTGCAGATGCAGCCACAGTAAATCCAAGATCGATGGTTGATGCTATTTTTGAACCACGTAGTAAGACAACTCCTGAATCAGTTGAAATTAAAGCAAGTTCAGGAGATTGTGATGCAAAGTGTATATCCTTGGGCTGAGAGCCAACATCAACAGATTCTGCAACTCCACATTGATCCCCAGTCAAAGGAACTCTGCACACCTAATTTAACAAAAGATATCGCTTAAGCAAAAGTATTACCCAACACATAGTGGAAGTATTTGGTCCCACAGCTTGGCAAAGCGTATTAAATGCATAAGTGACTTGAGCAGTAGGTGTGAAAAATTTTCACACAGGACCTTAAGAAATGAAAAGGTTTAATATATGTGAATACCACAGAGGAGGAGAAAGTTCATACAAATGAAGTTAAAAAAACAACGAAACATGCTCAAACCATTATTCACAACAAAGTCCAAAACCTTGTCTCATTGTATGGGACACACTACTGATGTGCATGTGAATAAAAGTTCTGAAAGCACTGGATAGTGAAGTTCACTTCTCTCATCATCATAAAATTTAGATATGATGCAAAGGGGAACAGATCTCAATTTGACATGTTTCCTACCTCCTATACAGTAACTAGTAGAATCAATGTTTTAAACAAATAAGATAAACAAATAGATAAATTTGAGGGCTGGCTGACATGAATTCAGCAAATCAACCAAGTCCATATGATATCAAAAGCAAAACAGAAAACAAAAAATGAGGACGGCTGCGAGCTCCTAAGAAACGGTAACTTATTACAAACTTCATTTTCAAAGGGAAAATGGAAAACTGAATTTACATTATAGCCAAGTTGAATTCAATGCATGCATGTGAAATGATAAATAAAATTGTAAAGATCATCTTAAAAAGAAAATGGATCCCCATTTACCTTCTAAGCGTGTCAGACACCTATGAATACAATTTTGATGTCCTATCTACCTCATATTATATTCCTGTCTTATGTTTAAACATGATAAGGTTATTACAAGGTGACCAGTTAAATGCAATTTAATCATTAAAGTATCAGTTCAGTTTAAGAAGATAAGACATACATCAACTTCACAGTAATCACTGAAACCATGAACCTCAAGTTAAACATATAGAATGCAGGTTAGCACATCAAACAATGCGTGCTCATAAAGAAAAGAATCTTACAACTAGCAGAACAGCATGTTCATGTACCAGTTGAAAAAATTAGTTATGACTCGATTACTGTACAGGCCTGTTAAACTCAAAACTAAGCAGACCTCCAAACAAGTGTGCAGTTGCCACAGATTTACAAACCTTTAGCATGCAAGACAGAATTTTGTTAAGTGAACGTAAGAATTTGTTGTGGTCCCCATGTTCCATTCTTAGTATCTTCATGTGCAGTACAGGTTCCAGATAATATATGATATTCGTATAACCATAAGACAGCTAACTGTATACATGAACATATGGACACCAACTGTATGTGACAATCATCCAAACTGCAATGTGAACACGAAAATGACAAGTGAACAGTAAAGAAAAAATCCGTAGAATAATACTCTACAAAGGCGAGAGATTTCATCTTGCATATGAACGACATTCATTTTATAGGTACTGATATTTACATGCTAACTTTTTCTATTCATTCGCTCTTGTCGGAATATAAATAAATATCTCATCACTCACCTTATTGTCAAATCCTGATGTAATAACTTCTTGTTCAACTGCAGCAAAGCACTTAATTTGAGAATTGTCCTTCCTTTGTAGTTTGCCAATGTAACCAATGCCTGGAGTCCATCTTGATATGACACCATCATAACTGCTGGTCAACATCATTTTCTTCCCGTCTTGTACGAAACAAGTCAATGCATTAATGCCCTTCATGTGCCCAGCAAAAGATATAGGTGGTTTGTCCTGATCACTTGCTGAGAAAATACTTATTGTTCCACCAAGAGAGACAACAACAAGCTGGTCATTCTGCCACAGGCAGCCAACAAGCATGTCCTCGACTCCACCTGACCCTGGTGAAGCCAATGCTCTATTCAGTTTCCCATTTCCATCCTCCATGATATCCCACACTTTTGCGGTTTTATCAGCAGATACGGTCAGGACCTATGATTGACAAACATCCAAAATTAGATATTTCTTAATCAGGGAATTAACTAAAATACAAATGTAATCCAGAAACTTATTGTTTGAATTAACATTGTGAAGATCGCAAGATAAAAACAAGATAGTTGCAACCATCAGTAAACCGTTCTACAGAATACTTCTAAAATAATGTTATCCATGGTAAGTTGATTAAATCAGAGAAAAAAGAAAAATACTGATTACAGATGAGTTAAGGATTCAATGAAAATTTTCATGAACAGACAAGAAAGCTTGCACTTGCTAATGTTGCAAAATTCTTCTATTGTGGTGATGCATTTGAATTCAGAAATTACTTTTTGTTTATCAAAAAAAAATGATTTACATTATTCTGAATGTGTTATTGCCTATTGGTCAATATATAGCCTAAAGGTCAATATCCAACTCCAACACTTGGTACAAATTGTCAACACTCGTTTCTTGGAGCCAGCTCCGAATGAAGGTATAACCTTGTGCAAGTCAAGCTCCGAAGTCCGAACCTAACATTATGCTACACATTTTCCTGACAAACTCAAGCAAAACATATAGCATGCCATGCTAATGAAGATTGATTCTATAATTTAAATTTACAATATAAAGAATCTCTCAAAATTCACCTCCAATGGTCCAAGAGCAGAACTGCATAAGATATAGCATTCTTCATAAGGTCATGTACAATTTTCACAGAAGGCATTGCTGCTTAGCTGCATACTACAGTAGCTGTATATTATAGCACTACTTCAAATTTCAGGCAAGGTTCTATACCTACTGATCAGTGATCACTATCACAAATAACAGAAATTAACCATGCTTCTTCAGATAATAGACTCTTCGCTATGCATATTTGTTACTAATGCACGCAGAAGAAAAGTAATTACATTTCTTACGCATGGATAAGGGTGTGTAAGCAAGAAGTTAACTTTAGCGTGATAAAACATGAAGTTTGAACTTGTCTAAAGTTTAAACAATGTCATGCCCCACGACCCGGGAAGCATTGAAAAGTTTCACATTTTATAAATTTGTATGCCAATTAGAATATCTGAAGCTCTGCTCTTTCCATCTGAAGATCTGCATATGAGGTAAGCATGTGCAAAATCTCCTCAATCTGGTTTGTGTACAATAAAACACTTACGCTGTTATCCCTTTGACATTTACATAATGAAGAAATTTAGATACAACTCTAGCAAAAGTTGAGAGGTTAAGCCTGATATGATATATAGGGTTTTTTCCTTACTAGTCTCCTAAACCTTTCATATTTTGGATGTAGCTCCTCAAATATTCATATTTTGAAATTAGTCCCCCAAATCTTTTTAAGTTACTTAAATTAGTCCCTATGTTACATTTACCACCTAAATTGTTAACTGCAATTGGGTTAATGGTTAACTAGGGACAAGTAATTACCAAAATAACCCCATGAAATAAATGCCCCCACCAACTTCAGTTTCCTCTCGGTCTATCTCTCATTTCCCGGTTCAACCTCTGGGGTAGTGGATATTTTTTCCCAAAATCAACAGCCAAATAAACCAAAAGATTTGAATGCATAGCGTATAGCTGGTATTGCATTTAACAATGTTAAAGATGACGGAATATTCCCTCAATTTAACCAGTTGCTAACTACAGGAACTAATTTCAAAACGCTTAAAATTTTTGGGGTGCTAACTTTGAAATATGAAGATTTGGGGGTCTTATTTAACAATATGAAAGTTTGGGGGTGTGGGTGACTAATATTGAAAAAAAAACCCTTTCCTATAATAAACATCACTAATGGAACAATTCTCAGTTATCACATCTTGTGGGTGGATATAAATAAATAAATAAAGTTTTTCACGACAAATGGAAGAATCAATAAACTCAATATGTTTACATAAATCTTAGATTCCACAAAATAACTCACTACAAATTAAGCATCATACATTTAGAAACAAAATAGACGAAATAAATAACAAGCATGATTCACCAGGGAAATGCACTAGTTGAATTAAATTGTTGCAAGTCAGATTTGGAAATGCAAAGGTCCATCAGAGGAATTTAAACTTTGGAAGTCTGAATTTCTAGGAAATTACTACATGAATACATACTTGTTTACTATCAGGACTCCAGCTAACAGCATATATGCTTCCTTTGTGACCATCTTCCATGGACAACTCTCCAATCTTTTCTGCAGTCTTTCCATCATATATTACTCCTTTCTTATCTGAGCTTACAGTGATAAATCTATTTCCATCAGGAGAATAACGTACACAGTTAACAAAATTTGTGTGTTCCCTGCATAACCAAATAAATGTTAATTTCAAATCTAAGATAGTAAAATCTGGTAGAGAAATTCTTCCAAACTCTCATACCAATGAACTAGTGCCAAGCTGTCCAAGTTCCTGAAATGTCAGATACATAATCTTCCAAAAGCTCAATATAAGGACATGCCAATACTGTTCAATATTTGGTGTTTCATTAAATTTCTTTCCTTAGGAGAGCTTTCTTGGAAACATGCATGCCAGCTCGGATAATAAAAACTTATGATTCAATTTACTCAAGAGTAGAAGAGCATCAAGCAGCCAGGAAAAAATATAGAATGAGGGTTGCTAATAAATGTTAAAAGGCGTTATTTGATAGTTACATTTGGTTATTAACTGACTAGAATTGTCCATTAGTAGGTTGTCTTTGGGTTAGTATTGGGTTTCTATGTGATTTTATCTTATCTATTATGTTGTAAAAATCTACCTAATGGATGAACAGGATGAAGAATATATAACATGAAAACAATGATTGGAGTTGGCAAAGTTGAGGCCTTGATATTCTTCTCCTCTGCTCCTTCTCTCCTCCTTCACTTTTCCTATTAATTGCATTATTCTAGAACTAAAGCAACAAAATCCTCCTGCAGGCATATTTGCGCCATAGCCTTAATATCATAACCATGTACCTCCATTTCCTGCTCACAACTTACCCTGCGGAACATAGTACATGTTTCATGTTGTCCTTAGGTCCATCTGACACCACCATTAACCACTATCCCTCATCATCTTCATTATTGCAAACTCCAATTAATGTCAATTATGTTCCTACCGTCATCATCTCATCATTAACCGACGCTACCATTCATGACAAGCAAACTAAACTGATCAAAACTAAACTGCCCACGGAAAATAAGAATTATCTTCTTTCTTCTTCAAAATTTGATTCCTACGTTGCTAATGAGGATCTCTAGGCATTTTGGGACAACTATTATTCAAAAACTCTTAAAGTATTTAAAGACACTCTGCCTTATTTCCCGATGTACTTCTCAAAATGAGTTATCCCCTCTCTTGACTCGGAACAAAGCTTTGGAGACAATTGTTTACTATCTCTTTAATTACACAAACCTTCAAATTGAGTTTCCTTTAAGACTCCTACATTCCCAAAAGCCTATAGCAAATTGTTTTAACAGATATTATATTAGCCAGGTGACAGAATGTCAAGTGAAGAAGGGTATATCATATCTATTTCTTTCAAACATGTTCCCTCCTACTTTTGGCTAATGAATGTTTCCAGGCTCTTTAAGAGCGGACTAATTCATCAGCCATGTGCAGACCTCTACCCACAAACTCATCAACTTTCCAAGAAAAAATCATCACAGTTGCCCACAGTGAACCATAACACATCAAACAAAGACCTTTTAGGACAAGTATGCTCCAGAAATTGCAGCTGCTCCCTTTGGTTTCCCGGTATTTCAATATACAATTTCTACTATTTGTCATTTTGTATACCACAGGCCACAAATATCAAATACTCAGAACATGCCATACATAAAATGAGCTAGTTCTGGTTTATCATGTTTCCAAGATTGTATCATGCAACAAGAATGGTTCATTTTGTGATTCAAAGGCCTCAAATCAAGTACTAAAACAGGCATTATATGACAACATGAGCTTTTCCTCCATTTCGAATGGATTCACCTACTCATCTATAAATCAAATACACAAACAAGAAAATGTGATCCACACATAAAATAGTAACCATCAACAATGTTTAAACTACGCAACAAACCTGTGTGAAAGCTTGAATTTAAATGGTGGTCCCTCGTAGAAGTTCACTATGAAATCTTCCCCACCGGTGACAACGCGGAATGGTCTAGTAGGTTTGAAAGTGCAACTCAATACCCTCTTAGAATGTCCATCAAACTCCCCAACTGTGGAGCCTGAATCCCACCTATACAAACGAAAGTCCAGTAAATTGAGAAGTGTTAGTTCTCGACTGATGACTTGCTTATGAAAATGGGTAAAACTATCAAAGACTTGTAGGAAATATTTCATAAATAACATGTCCATCATGAGGTTTAGAATAGAAACACAAAAATAGCATTCATAAAATGGATCAAAATATGAAGTTCATAAAATATTGAACTTCTTTATATGTAGTATCTAGTTACACAAAATAAAATGAGGAAGCATCAAATTTCAACTGGAAAATTTCCATAGCAAAGAGGCATTATATTTAACATGAATGTGATTAGTACATGAGTGATATTTTGTATTTATCATTAAAAGAAGCCTGCACATAAGCCTAAAGAGAACTTCCAACAAGTCACAAGTCCCAGATAATTAAAAGAAAATTACTTTTTCATGTCTCGGTTTCAGATTCATCACTCCAGTTGTCCAAATGCATTCAATTATCCCAAACATCACTAGTAATAAGTGTTAAACAATAAAATATCGAAGATTCTCATTCATATCTCAAAAGCTACGACTACTACATAGGGATGCAATAACAAAAAGCTTATTGTGTAGTCAATGTGTGACTAATCTCAATTATTCTTTTAGTTACATTCCTAATATCTCCCGATCACCAAATCTCTAATTTACACTCCTGGTATATCTTGTCTAATGTTACTTATTTCCTTCATTACCTCTAACACTTCTCAAGCTGGTGCATATACAATATACATGTCCAGCTTACTACAGCACTCACTCCAACTTGTGACACGATTTTAAAAGGATAAAATCTTCTGTGTGACTTTTCTTGTTGTATTGTCTTCATCTTCAAGCTCAACCAAAATCACTGAATGTGATACCTCAATCTTTTTCACAGATCGACCAAACAACACGATCCTCCCCAAAGAACCACCAAACAAACGATCCTTACCAGAGACCCACCAAGGAAATGATCCTCTTTAGGGATCCACCAAACAAACGAATAAACCTCTCCACGGATCAATCAAACAAATAATCCTCTCCACAGATCAACCAAACGAACTTTTTATCGGTGAGCATAATAAACATATCACCACCCTCCAACTGAAAAAAATGATGAGTACCTGCCTACCCCCCTTAAACACCAAACTAAATTCCTAACACTACCCTACCACCCTCAAACAACTCCAAGCTCCTTGCACCACCCTACCACCTTCAAACAACTAAACAAACCATCATAAAACAATTTCAAATTTCAACACCATCACCGAACATCAACAATGCCAACAAAAATCAACTAACTTAGAAGATAACCCTTCAATTACAAAAAAGACGACCATATAAACTATACCAAATTCGTCTCTTTAGCAAGAGAGACGAGGTGGCAAGGACAGTGTCAGCTCGATAATAGCACGATGGCTACCTACT